AGATGTTGGGTGCAGCCCGGCAGGCTGGGTTCCAGTGGGCATGCAGGTGACTCTGATGCATGCTCATTTAGTCTCCCTTCGCCATTTCAGCTCCTGTGCAGGTCCAGGTTCTGGGAGATGGGCGGTAAGCTGACAAAAGCCGGAACAAGCACAGTTTGCAAATCTTGAAAAGGCAGGAGTTTCCTTAGGGACTCTCCCTGCAGCTCAGCTGAGATGGCGCAGGCAAGGGTCTAACAGAAAAGCTGCCTAGTTATGAAAACGTGATTTCAGTTCACAGAAACTTCCGAGAACACAAACAGTTACCCTCTGGTCTTGGCAGGGGACTGGCTCCCGGATCTCCCACGGATACTCCAACCCAAGGATGCTCAAGTCCCTTATATGAAACGGCCGAATAGTTGCATCTAACCTGTGCACACCCTTCCATATGCTTTAAGTCATAACTCATTTCTGAATTAGTATAATACCTAATGAATGTAAATGGTATGTAAATGGCTATTATTTTTCTCCAAATTTTTTAAAATCTGCAGTTGGTTCAATCAAGGATGACGAACCATGGCTATAGAGGGCAGCTGTATTTACCAGCATAACTGAGAAGGAACAGACATTGCTAGCAAAACATTTAAAAAGAACAACCTGGCCAGGGATTTAGCTCAGTGGTTCTGCTGCCTGCCTCGAAAGCACAAAGTCCCAAGTTCGATCCCAGGTACCAAAAAAAAGAACCATCACTGGGGATGGTAACGTGCACTTGTAGTCCCAGATACTCTGGAGGCTGAGGGAGGAGAACTGCTCGAAATCAGGAATTTAAGCTCAGCTGGGCAACATGGCAAGATCTTGTCTGAAGGAGGGAAACAAAAGAGGAAGAGGAAGAAGAGTGGGAAAGAAGGGAAAGAAGAAACTTCTAGGGCTGGGAATATACCTTAGAGCATGCTTAGCATGCAGAAGGCCCTAGGATCAACCCCTAGTACCAAACAGAAAGGACAGTTAATAATACAAAAAGACAGAAAACAAAACAAAACAAAAACACAGGAGTAGGGAAGGCCAGATACCACAGTCATTCTGAGCTGTTTAACGGTGACCAACTGCGCTTAAAGGGAGCGTCTATATTCCATCCCTACACAGTCTCCTGGTTGGGGGCCAGCTTTGCACTGTTGTTTTCAACCTTTTCACTAACAGTAAAGAATGGACCAACCTGAATGACCAGAATGGTAGACAGGCTGGGTCAACCTGGGACTGGGCATCCATGTGCTGGAGAAGTGTGCTTCACTAACACAAATAAAACTGACCCAAAGGCATGAGCCAAGGGGGACAGATTGAATGCAGAAATGACATAGAATTCTATGTATGAACTGTGATGTAAAAATAGAGTGGACTGGCTGGGGATTTAGCTCAGTGGTTCTGCCTCCTGCCTTGCAAGCGCAAGGTTCCAAGTTTGATCCCTAGAACCAAAAATAAATAAATAAATAAAAATAGAGTGGCTGCTGAAATTTTAAAAAAATTATGACAGTAAAAGACACATTACCTATTACAATGTTTACATTTTTGATGCATTTCTGTTCTAGTTTAGCGCATGGTGAGAGATGTGGGTCCAGGTTTAAACTTTATCACGTGGAAAGCCAGTTTTCCCAGCACCATTCATTAAAGAGGTTCTTTCTTCCAGTGAAGGTGTCTGGCCCCTTTGTCAAAGATGAGGTTGCTGTGTGTCTGGAGTGGTTTTTTTATCTTCTACTCTTTTCCGTTGATCCTCAGGTCTTTTTTTTTTGTTTTTGCCAATGCAATGCTGTTTTTATTACTGTAGCTTTGTAGTATAATTTAAAGTCAGGGATTGTGATGCACCCTCCCTTGCTTTTGTTGCCCAGAATTGCCTTTGCTATTCTAGGTCTCTTCTGGTTCCAAATGAATTTTAGGATGTTTTCTCTAATTCTGTGGGGTAACTTACTGGTATTTTGATCAGGATTGCATTAAATCTGTATAACAATCTTGGCATTGTGACCATTCACTATATCAGTTCTTCCTAAGAACAAGGGATATTTTTCCATGTTATGTTATCCTCTTCGATCTCCTTTCTCAGAGTACTATAGTTTTCAGGGTAAAGGTCTTTTACTTCCTTCATTAGATTAATTCTTAAGTATTCATTTTTTTCAATGTTACTGTGAAAGGTGTGGTTTCCCTAATTTCTCTCTCAATGAGTTTATTATTTGTGTACAGGAAGGCTATTGATTTTTGGGTGCTAACTTTGTATCCAGCTACATATCTGAATTTGGTTATTAAATCTAGAAGTCTTTTGGTGGAGTTTTTGGGGTCATCTACGTAGAATATTATATCATCTGCAAATAATAACTTAACTTCTTCCTTTCCTATCTTTACTCCTTTTATTTATTTCTTTTGTCGGACTGCTGTGGCTAATGTTCCCAGAACTATATTGAATAGGAGTGGTGATAGTGGACATCCTTGTCTTGTTCCTGAAAAATCTGCTGGAAGATAGAAAGGTAGTGCTCTTGAAGACACAGCTGTAGGCATAGACTTTATGAACAAAACCCTGATCGCACAGGAAATATTACAAAGAATCAACAACTGGGATCTCATCTTATTAAAAAGCTTTTGCACTGCAAAAGAAACCAACAGAGCGAAGAGACAACTCACACAGTAGGAAAAAATTTTGCCAGCTGTTCCTCCGACAAAGGACTAATATCTAGAATATATAAAGAACTAAAAAAAAAAAATCAGACACCCCGCCCCCAAAATTTAAAGACCCAATCTAAAAATGAGCATCTGAAATGAACAGATACTCCTCAGGTAAATAAGTACAAATGGCAAATAAATCAACCAATAACAAATGCTGGTGAGGCTGTGGGGGAAAAGGAACCCTTCTGAGTATAGACTGGTACAATCACTGTGGAAATCTCTGTGGAGATTCCTCGAAAAACAAAAAGTAGAGGTTCCATTCAACCCACTATTCCTCTTCTTGGTATCCTCCCAAAAGAATTAAAAGCATCATACCACAGCGATATATGCACACCCATGTTTATAGCAGCACAGTTTATAATAGCTACATCTTGGAAACAGCTCAAATGCCCATCAACCAATGAATGGATAAAGAAGATGTGGTTTTTAAATATAGTAGAGTACTATTCTGCCATAAAGAAGGATAAACTTGAGACATTTCTAGTTAAATGGATGCACCTTGAGACCATACTCTTAAGTGAAATACGTCTGACAGACATTCGTAAATACTGTATTGTTTCTCTGGTGTGACAAACCAAAAGGGTAAATGAGGACCAAAATGTATAACAGATACTGGGAAAAAGGAAGACAATGTTCAATTGAGAAGGGGAACAAGGGAGTAGGGAGAGGGAAAGGAAAGAAGGGAAAAGAAAAAAACAGAAAAAAATGGCAACAAAAATTTTGCAAATAAAGAAGGGAAGAGGTGTTGAAGGGAGGGGAGGGGATGGGGGAGAAAGAATCAAGATATATCATGTACAGGTACAAATTCCCTACGCTGAATGTGATCATTATGTATATCTAAAATGCACCAATAAAATTAGTTTTTAAAAGACACATTGCCATTAATCCCCCTCAAAACACTCCCCCTCACTTTGACCACACTTATCCCATTGTTCTTGCCACCTTCTGAAGCAGTTCTGAAAATTATTTTTCCTGAGTGCCTATAGTTGCAATGTTGTGGCTGCCCCTATGTCCTGAATGAATTCATCTTTCAGGGTCATTTAGACTTTGAGGAAGAGCCAGAAGGTGCATGGTATTAGATATGGTGAATAAGGTGGATGAGGACCCAGTGTCATGTTTTTACAAGCCTGCCTGTCCTACGGATGGCGCTCAGCCCAGCATTCGCCATATTGTTGATCACACAGTGGAAATAGACTCGAGAAAGAGGACTTCAGAACTGCTTCAGAAAGTGGCAAGAATGATGAGATAAGTACGTTGAAAGCAAGGCAGAATATTTTGAGAGCAATTAATGGAAATGTGTCTTTTGCTGTAATAAATATTTAAACATATACCATTATTTTGATTACACCTTGTATAGCATGATTCCTTTTTAATATTAAAGATGTATTTTAAGATACCCATATACTTAAATATATTTTTTAGAAAAGATACATAAAACCATCACAATGGAGGAGAGGATAAGATACAGGAGAGGACAATATGCTCTTACATGTGACATCTTTCTTTACGATCTGAATTCTTCTCCGACAGCCCCAATATTTATTGACAAGTGAACTCTTTATATTTACAAGGCAACCAATTTTACACAGCATTTGTTAGGTTTTGAAATTTCTGTATACTAAACAAGTACTTGCTGAGTAGCTACTTGGCACTATTTTATTTTTGTCTCTTTGAGACAAAGTCTTGCTATGTAGTTGAGCCTGAACTTGAGCTCACTAGGTAACCCAGGCTGGCTTCAAACTAGCAGCAATCCTCCTGTCTCAGCCTCTGGAGTGCTGGGATTATAGGTGTGTTACCACACCCAGGATACAGCAGTCAACAGAAAAGGCAAACCCCTGCCTGCCTGGAGCTGACATTCTAGTGCAGACAGACAAAAACAAAATAGTAAATTATTGAGGTGCATTTGGTGGTGCCACTGAACTAACTTGTGGTCAACTGGTCACCAATGCATGATTGTGACCAGCTGGTAAAGAGAGAGCAGGGCCTACGTTGTAGACCAGTTATGACACTAAGTACACTGTTTAGGTCACGAATGTGCTTTTCCTGCAAGACTTTCTCGGTGAAGGCAGCAGAGACTGGTGTACACCTGGGTGCACTCCTGTCTCATAGCAAACACATAACAAGCAGTTCCTAATCTGGCTGGCTGGAAGCTGCAAAGGGCCAAGAATAAAATAAAGGGGCTGGAGAGTGGTGGTGATCTTACAAAGAAGCAGTCAGAGAAGGCACTGTGGAAATAGTGACCTTTTCAAAATATCTGGGTAGCAAAAGCAAAGAAAACATAAAGCAACATGACCCATGAGAAACGGGGCTCCACTCACCAGGAAAGGAGTGCAGACCCAGGTGAAGGTCCCCACGGCCGCCAGGTAGGCAGACTTCTTCAGCACCTTCAGCTCCTCCTGCCTGATAGCCATCACCTTGTCCTTGAACGCCAGCTCCCATGCATACAGCTTCAGCACTTTGATCCCGTTGAGGATTTCATTCATCAGCCTGATCCGATTGTCTTTGCTCTTCATGTGGGCCACCTTCACAGACACGAGTGATCAGCGGTCACCGAGGGCGGGTCACTCACCTCTGTCCTGCCGTCACTTCATCACCCAGTGGCACAATGACTAAATACGGTCTCCCTGGTGCTGGAAGGCTGGCGCTGGAACCCCTGTGAGCCCTGGGCTTGGCCTGAGAACACCCCAACAGACTCCTCGATCATGAAAGAACAAGCTGCTTCGAGTTCCACTAGATCAGACATTAGAGAAACCTATTCAATTTAGAACCATGGAACAGAAGTGAAAAAGACCTTTGGAGCACACAGAAGACAGGACCTGGGCTCCGCTCTGCTGATAAAAACATAGCAAGGATGGTGTTACTTTTCTTCTCCATTTTCTCAATTGATCTGCTACCAGTTCGTGGCTGTTAAAACCTGAAATGTTTCCATAGCAGTGGCACTGGTTTCTGACCACTGGGTGCCCATGCTGTACAGGTGGTTAAATAGCTTACTGCTGCCCGGCGTTTTCCACCAGCCAGGCACTGTTCTAAGCATTTCATACACATTCAGCAATTCAACATGCATGACTGGTGACACAAGTGAGACAGTCATGCATGTACCACAGGGGTTCAAGCCACACGGCAGCGAGACATACGAATTATGGCCACGCTGTGAACGTGTCGTGCTCACAAGGACCATGTAGGCCCCCCCCGAGGTCTCAGACGGGACACTCTGAAGCATCATGACCTGCACACCAGTGAGGGCAGCAAAGGTGCCCACCAGGAGAAACCCACACACCCAGGGGACGGATGGGAGGTGACATGGCCCTAAACCTGCTGCCTCCCTTCCCCGACCTGTCGCGCCCCACCTGGCCCCCGTCCTGGAACTCACTGTCCCTGCAGATTGCAGCGGGGCCAGGAGCGCTCATGTGAAACCCACAGGCACATCACAGCACCCACCCATCTCCAGAGAGGAGAGAAACAAACTCCATCTCTCTTATATAAAAAAAAGTATACGTCTGTGTATACAGGGCTCGGCCAGTGGCGTGTGCAGCCTGGCAGGGACAGGCACCTACCTGATAGGTCTTAGTCTTCATCGCCATCACAGCATTAAAGGGCACCATGAGGATCATCACGGCCACCCCAGCCAGGACGGAAGGGCCCAGGTTCTAGAGAAAGAGAAGACAGTCACTCAACAAACAGGACAGAATAAGGTCCTTCATGTTCTACACAGGCTGTCTGTCCTACACGGATTCGGCCAAGTGAGCTTGGGGCAGACGCATTCCTTCTGCCCACTGATGGGGTAAAAAGCTGGTGGCTTGGGGGCCTCCCTACCCCTTCAAGAACGTCCAGGTCTGTGATCCCTTATGTGAAGCCCTTGGGCCCAGATGAGTTTTACAAATTAGAAGTATAGAATTTTAGAAAGGTAAAATAATACTGGGTAAGACACAGTTCACACAGCTGTCCTGACCCCTTATGGGACTTGAAAGGTGCTTGCAAGTTTGGCCCATGGCCGGGAACCTGGATTTCAGGAGGGTTTCCGCCACTCACGAAATGGGCACGAGGGGCTCACTGTGTCTGAATTGTCTACACAACCAGGGGGGCTTATGTTGGACTCTGCTTTTCCTCCTGGGAGGCTGGAATCGTGGAAGGCTCTAGGCAGAGGACACCATGCGACCAGCTCTCAGGAACAACTCCTGGCACTGCGTATTTATCCTACTGGGGGTGGGGGAACTCACGAGTGACTCTAGGGAATTGTTGCTAGGGAATTAAGTGCATCCGTGTGCTCCACTCCCTGGGAGAGTCTAGAAGCCTGGAGCTGGTTCCCCTGGACTTCGCCCTGGCTGCCTCTTTCCTTCGTCAACGGACTGTCCTAAATTACAGCCAGGGGTGCTACTGGCATTAGATGGGTAGAGAGCAGCATGCTGATAAGTACTCTGGAATGTAAAGGACAGTCCCCAAAGCGAAGGCTTATCCGGCCCCAAAGGTCCACAGAGCTGAGACTAAGCAATCCTCCTCCACACGAGAACAGTGGTGTCAAACAGCTTTTTTTTTCAGTAAGGCATATTAGGAAGACACATTAACATGCATAGATACACAGTAAATAATTAAACACATGCCACTCTCAGTGAACTATAAAGAAAAAAATAACATGAAGGGAAAAATTGTTTTCAGAGAAATTTTTGTCTTTTAGAGCGATCACGTGTCTATTTGCATATTAGAAAATTATTAGACTTGATATATAAACTTGTCAAACAACTTTTTTTTTTGGTACTGAAGATCGAACTCGGGACCTTGCGTTTGCAAGGCAGGCGGTAGCACCACTGAGCTAAATCCCTGGCCTCAAACAACTTTCTTAATGGTTCATAAACCAATTCTCTGAAAATTGAAGACAATTCTAAAAAAAACAGCATTCCAAAAATATTTTCACCTATAGGTGGTACTTTCTGGGAAAGTAAATACCCCAGATACTTGCCTAAAAAGACATTTTACCTAGATATTTATATTCTAGTGTTGAGGGCTAGGGATGTACTCAGTGAGAGAGCACTTGCCTAGCATGAGTGAGGCCCTGCATTCAATCCCCGGCACTGCGTGAAAAAATAAATAAAATTCTGGTGTTTTCCCTTCTAAGTTTCATCAGTAAGAATACTATGGGGCCGGGGATTTAGCTCAGTGGTTCTGCCACCTGCTTTGCAAGCGCAAGGTCCCGAGTTTGATCCCCGGTACCAAAAAACAAAAAGAAAGAATACTGTGGAGTGGGGGGGTACACTCAGTGACTGACACACACACACACACACCCACCCATACATACGCATATGGCTCACAAAAATATACACAAAAATATAAACTACAGTCACAGCAACTGATAATTGGCTGGGTTCATACCATGTATAGCCTGTCTGGGGTGCATCTCCAAGTCGCCAACTTGCTACCAGGGCAAGGTAGCAATGAGTACACAAAAATTGCAGTATACAGAAAAATTTGTTTGAGACTTTTGTTTGTTCACTCATTCACTCACGGTACTGAGCCTTGAGCCACATCCCCAGCTCTTTTTATTATTTACTTATTTATTTATTAATTAGGTATCAGGGATCAAAATCAGGACCTTGTGCTTGCAAAGCTGGCGGCGGAACTACCAAGCTAAATCCCCGGGGCCTTATTTTTTATTTTGAGACAAGGTCTAGCTAACTTACTAAACTGCCCAGGCTGTGCTCAAACTTGTGATTGTCCTGCCTCAGCTTCCCAAAGTGCTGGGATTATAGGTGGGTGCCACTATATCTGGCTGTTATTTCAGAAAGTAAAATCAGGTAAATTCCTGTAAAGTTATCTGAATTCAAAAAAGCAAGAAGTCTATCTAATTGAGAGGGAGAGAAAAAAGTCATCAGAAGGAGCATTAGTCATATCCTTGAAGGATGGGCAGCAGTTCATTAGTTGGAAGGAAGGAGTGAATGGAGGGAGAAAGGGGGCAAGAGAAGAAGGAAAAGAGTTCCTGGTAAAAGGAAAGACGTGTGCAAAGGCCCAGAGGTGAGAAAGAACAAGGCACGTGTGATGCTATGCGCCCCATGCTCATCATCTTTTCACTCTGGGAGATGTCTGTCCCCATGTGTGGATATGGAGAGACTATCACATCTCCACAGTGGGAGGAGACATGGCTCAGGCTGGCTGATCAGACTTCTCCCTCTCGGGCCACAGCAATTAGTTGAGGGGCGGGAACAGGATCATGCTGGGCCGATCAGAAGCCCGTGGGATCTGGCTGAGGCCGAGGATAGTCTTCTCTGGGACTCCGGTCTGTAAGATGACACAAGCTCAAAGAAAACGGGGCCAAGAAACAGTGAAAGAATGTGAGAGTAAGTCCTTAAAACACTGCCTGATCTCCTAGATCACGCACACATGCCACAGCGGGCTGTTTGTTATCACTGAAAGCTCTAAAGGGTTCACTACTGCCATCCTAGATCCACCCATGCCCGCAGAAAAATCCTTAGATTTCTTTCAGATACCTTAAAAATTCCCTTTATTTGTTAGGCTAAAATGGATTTCTATCCCTTACATCAGAGAGAAGCTTGACCCACATAGTTAAGGACCAATGAATGAGTTTCATTCACATTTGAGAGGGAAGAGTGGGAGAAACATGGTGTGTGTGTGTGTGTGTGTGTGTTTTGTAGGGTTGTTTATTCAATACACTCAAGAAAAGGCACATGCAAAGAAACACCATGCCCCAAAGAGAATATACTCCTGACAAATTGAGGGAAGGCATAAAATACCCAGAAATTGGTTAATGGGCCAGAAAATAAATGACAGCAAGAAATGCCAGCTGGCTACAGAACTCTCATCAGAGCACCCACTGCCTACGTGTGGAGGCCCCTTGCTACCCGTGCACGGGAAGGACACTGGACACACACCAGCCAGAGGAGGTAGAGCGCGAGGATGACCTGCAGAGGGGCTGACCAGATCATGTTAATGTACGTGGCCAAGTCCATGAACCGCTGGGCATCCACAGACATGAGGTTGACGATCTCCCCGACCGTGGAGGACTTTCTGGCTGAATTGGTGATCACCAGGGCCTGAGGGATGAAGGAGAGGTGAGTGCAGGCAGTGATGGGCCCTGGACTCCTCTTGCCCCAGAACCGGGAGCGGAAGGCGACTCCTGACAGTAACAACACCATGGATCTTTTCTCCTCCCCTGCCAGTCCAGCTACCTTCTCAGCCTTAGCTAATCCGCGTCATCACGAAGGCCACATGCCTATCAGTTGCAGTCACTGCCTCCCCATGGCGAGTCTTCCATGTGGAAGGGCCCTCAGATGCCCTCAAGCCAGGGCTTTGCACACTTTGATGTGCACACATGTCACCTGGGGACCATAAGGCCAAGCCGCTTCTGATCAGCAGGTCTGTCATAGGGGCTGAGGTTCTGCATTTTTAACAATCTCCAGGGTCACACAGACGCTGCTGGGCCTAGACCCTGACAAAGGACCCAGAGTCAAGGCCAGAGGTACTAGCCTTGGCATTCTCAGCATTCAGTCCTGGGTCACTGTTTGTGTGCTTATTCTGTACAGGCTGAGATGCTCTGCTTAGCAGCCTCCCGGGCCTCTACCCACTAGATGCTACATCCTCAGTTGTGACAACCAAAAATGTCTCTGGACATTGTCAAACATTCCTGGGGGGAACAAACCACTGGGTGGAGAACCCCTCATCTAAACCACTGGTTCTGAAATGTGGTTCAACACTATCACTTGGAGAGTTTAAAAAAAATTTTTTTTTGGTACTGGAGATCGAACTCAGGACCTTGCGCTTGTGAGGCAGGTGCAGTGCCACTGAGCTAAATCCCCGGCCCTGAGTTTTAAAACCCTTGACACCCATGCGCCCTTGGCTGTTCATTCAGCTGGTTTCAGGTGCTGCTTAGGCACCAGGACTCCAGCTCCCTTGAGAATCTAACTCACAGACAGCACTGAGAACCACTAGCCTACTTCTTAAAGACACTATCTATAGGACTGTGGGGCTCTTCCCAAACCGTGGGCCAAGCAGTGTCCTTGCCTCCAAAGGCTCTGAAATGAGATCAAGAAGCTAAGCTGGTTTCTTTGAAGCCAGGTGTGGAGGCGGAGGCTATGGCTCAGTGGTGGAGTGCCTGCCTACCAACCCAAGCTCCATCAAAAAAATAAATGTGTTCAAAGTTAGAAACTGTGTACTCCATCGTTCAGGGTATACATCTCCCACTCAGTTTAATTCAAAGGTGAAAGCAGGTCAAACACAGAACATTAACAGCAGAAGGATCTGAACTTGGATTTGCCCACATCGAGGACCGCCAAGCCCTTGAAGAAACTCAGTTACCCACGGCTGACATGTGGGCTCACAACATTCCACACCCCAACCCAAAAAACCCTGCTTTGCTAAGGGATAAGGACTGAGGGGCGCCATCCTCACCACCCCTAGTCATTTCCGTCCTCTCATCCTCTTGCTCCAGAGACTTGGCTAGACATCCCCATGGGTGCTAGAGAGACCAGCCGAGTCCAGCAGAGGGGATGTGGAAGCTGGCCCTACCTTGCGATAGACAGCCCCGATGACAGCGGTCTTGATCCTCATCCCACTGACAAAGCAGATGTGGAAGTACTGGTGCAGCACCAGTGTCTGCAGGCAGGCGGTCACGAACAGCAGCGCTGTGTAGAAGTAGCCCTGCCAGTCTGGGGCCTTCTTGTCATTCACAAAGTTGATGAGCAACCTGATAGGGGATAAGGTGTGACCCCGGAACCACATCGGTAGAACCCATGAAGCTGGAAAAAGTGCTTCCAGGTCAGCACTGCCAGGCAAGGCAGGCTCTGGCCTCCAACCTCACAGGCACAAACAGGAGCCCACAGCAGCCATCTGACTGTGCAAGGGGCCCGTGCCACGCACACAGGGGCCTCTGCCTTGGGACCCCCACATTGGTTTCAAGGATATGCCTCCCCACCATCAAGTCACCCAGAAGGGACCAAATGGAGAACACAGGGACAGAGAAAAGGAGGGAAAAGGAACGACCGTGAGGCCCAGAGAGACACAGGGAAGGGGAGAGGCAACACCTTTCTGAATTCCTAGTCCCACTGTAATTTTTCACAAGAGCTGCCTGCATCTCCTTGCTCTTGGCTTGCCAAGACAACCCCATTCCCTCCCGTCTTAGATTAAGTAGGTTTCTGTTACTTGCAAAACAAAATGACTTCCATACAAACTGCAGTTAAGCAAAGAGGGTGAAGACAAGGATACCTGGCTACAAGCGCCCATCAGCACACGGCAGGACCCCAAGGTTAGGAGCAAGGCAAGCAAGAGGTCAAACCAGGGAGGCAAAGGGGAGCCCAGCTGGGAGGGAAGAGCTCTTACTTTAGGATCTCAGGGCCAGCAAACATCATCAGGTCGTGAAGAGCCTTAAACAAGAAGCTCATGAGGAAGTAGGGCCCAAAGGTCTTGTATAGCACTTTGAACAGGGAGGGGTCCCGCTCCCTCGGGGGGGACTTGACAATCAGAGACTCAGCCTCCTCGTGCACATCCACCTTGGAACTCCCTTCGGGCTTGGCGGCATCCTTGGAGGAGGAGGAGTACACCATCTTCACGGGGTGCCTGCAACACAAGGACAGGGAGAGGAGGTGAGATCCTCCACACATGCAGCCAGTGCCTGAGAGACAGGTAGGGCCCGAGACAAGTCACCAAGGAGGGGCTGCTGAGGAGAGCCGCAGGGCAGGAACCCGGACTCGTGCCCGGGGTTCAGATCCTTTGCCAGCTGTGGGGCTTTAGGCAAGTCACTCAGCTTCTCTAGGACCCACATCGTAGGGTGGCTGTGAATGAGTCAATGTACATGAAGGGCTTACAAGGCTACCAGCCCCAAACTTAGCCACAGAAGCAATGCAGTCCCTGCTGGAACCCCAGCTGGCTGCCTGTACAAATGGGTGTGTGAGTTCTAAAATTCATATGAAAATTCAAGAGACCCAGCATAGCCAAAACAGTCCTAGAAGAGAAAATAAAGGTGAGATTCACACTTCCCAATTTCAAAACTCCCTACAAAATGACAGGTATCATGACAGGCACAGGAACAGGCACATAGAGATCACTGAATTAGGAGCCCAGAAACAAACCTACTGACTTTTGGCAAGAATGTGAAGACCATGCATTGGAGACAAAATAGTCTCTAAAACCTGGTGCTGGGAAAGTGGACAGCCACATGCAACAGGATGAGCTTGGGCCCTGATCTTACACCAAATATAAAAATTAACACAGAATGAATCAGACTTTAGTGAAAGCTAAAACTCTAAAATCCTTAGGCAGAAACAAGGGTACATTGTTACACCCTTAAATTTGGCAATACAGTCTTTGATATCACCTGAAAAGCACAAGGACAAGAGAAATTACCCAACAGATAATTATCCAACAGATAAATTAGACTTTATCAAAATGAGACACTGGGGCCTGAAAAGATACTATCAAAAAAGTGAAAGGACAAACAACCTTGGGAGAAAATATCTGCAATTAATAACTGCATAAGGGACTTGTATCTAGGACACACAAAGAATGCTTATCATGCCATAAGAAAAAGACAACCCAACCTAAAAAGGCACAAAAGATATGAAGAAAGTTCTCCTAAGAAGATAAGCAACCAGCTGATAAGCCCATGAAATGTTGCTCAACATCACTGGTCATCAGGGAAATGCTAATTAAAACCACAGTAAAATACCATTTCACACCAGTAAGATACCATTTCACACTGACTAAGCCAGCTACAAGTCAGATAATAAAAAGTACAAGGATACAGAGAAACAAGAACACTCCCAACAGGAATGCAAAATGATGTCACTGTAGAAAACAGCCATGTGCCTCCCTGAAATGTTAAACACAGAAATACCATGTAACTCCTAGGTGTATACCTAAGAGAAATGAAGATACACACACACCTAAAACTTTGTAATTGGATATTTACAGCAGTAATATTCATAATCGATGGAATATTAGTTGGCCATAAAAAGCAACAAAGCACGGAAACTTGCCACAATACAGATGCACCCTGACACCACGCTAAGTGAGAGAAACCAGATACAAAAGCCACACATCAATTCCATGTCCATGAAATGTCCAGAACAGGCAAATCTATAAAGACAGAGAATAATTTCAGGTTGCTTACATGTGGGGCTGGGAAGATGAGGAGATTAGGGGATAAAAGAAGTATGAAGCTTCTTTCAGGAGTAGGAAATGAAAATGTTCTAAAATCAACTGCGTTGAAAGTCGCACAACTCTGAGGATATAATGGGAAAATAATCACCAAACAGCACATTTTCTTTTTTGTACTGCAGATGGTTTTTATTTTCCTGACATCTACATTATACAACCCTAATCATTAAGTTCTTCTTCATACGTGCTCTTCTTTACCCTCGGGCGCTGTGAATCCTCTGAGGTCGAGGGGCCCCCTGTGCGGGGTTCCGTTGGTTCTGCTCTCCAGTCTTGGCTGCTGGGACACGATGGCTTGGCTGAGACTCTCCAGAGCGGGGTCTTCCCCTTCGTCTTCACTTTCTGCTGCGTCCTCAGTGTCTTCCGGTTCGGGAATTTTCTTCTTCTTTTTTTCTTTCTTCTTGGGAGGCTCAAGTTCTCCAAGCATATTTTTCGGACAGGCATACCTTAAGTGTCCACTTTCCCCACATTCGTAGCACTTCGATTCATCAAAGTAGTTTCACCTTCAGATGCATTCAGCGGCTCTACCATTGTCAATAGCAACGCTTGCCTTTATCACTCTACCAAACAACTGTTTTGCTATGGCTCTGGTGCAGTTTTGTGCAGAATCTTTATCCAAAAGTAATATAAATGCGACCCCTTTACTCTTCCTCGTATCCTTGTCATTCATTATAGTAACCTTCACAACTTTGCCATACTTGGAAAATAGCTGGTGTAAGTCGTTGTTCGTCAGGGAGAAGGGCCAGTTGGACACATACACTGTGCCGCTCTTACTCGGAGCCAAGCCACCACCCATCTCTGCAGGGTCGGCGGTCCCGGCGCAGCGGGGGTTCAACCCCGACTTTTTCTCACCCCTCACAGCGGCCTGGGCATCCCGTGCCCAGGCAGAGCCTGCACAGAGCCCTACAAATGCACATTTTTAATACAGAGTGTATGAATTACATCTCCATAAAGCTGTCACCAGGCAAAACAGTTCACCTGGTCCCCAACTTACGATGGTTAGACCGAGAGCTGTCCAGTTTCCTGATGGTACAAAATTTGGCAGAAAACGTACTTCAAATTCTGAATTATGATCTTTTCCCAAGTTAGCAATCTGCAGTAAGACCCTTGCTCACGATGCCAGGCAGCGGTATCCAGGCGTGGTGCAGCCACATCACATCACAGAAGAACTGAGCGCAAGGTGCACTGCATTGCTAAGCTACGGAGCCAGGAGGGCCGGCTGTATGACCTGCATTTCTTTACCGAGTGCATGTTTGTGACACCAACGATGATGTCTGCTGTGGAGACCTGGCATCTGCACACCACAGATCTCCATCATTTTCAACCCTTTTGTCTCTTCCCTATCTCCAGGAGTCTGCCTTCTAGTTCCCCATCACCTCTCCTTTCCTTTATTCTCTTTGATATTTACATTTTAGGTTTCTGGTGTAAGAGGAAGCATGTGAGACTAACAGATTCAAAGAATCTAGCTTCTTTCACTTGGCACGATGGTCTCGAATCCCATCCATTTTCCAGCAAATGACATGATTCCATTTTGTTTAATGGCGGAATAACACTGCATCATGTATACATGCATTTCTTTATCTAGCCATTTCTTGACAGCACCTAGGCTGTTTTCAGGGCTTAGCAATTGTGAACTGTGCCACTATAAACATAGGTATACAGCCAGGCATAGTGGTGTAGGCCTGCAGTCCCAGCACTCCAGGACGCTGAGGCAGGAGGATCACAAGTTCAAACCCAGCCTGGACAACTCAGCACTCTAGTGAGACCTTGTCTCAAAATTAAAAAAGAACACAAACAAACAATGTAAAGGTCTGGGAGTGAAACTCAGTGTGAAGGCCCTGGGTTCGATCCCCTGTACTGTGCAGAAGAGAAAAAGGGGGGCGGTGCATTAAATGGATTTTTGATATTTTAAACTTACAATGGGTTTACTGAGACATAACCCCATTATAAGTCAAGAGGCATTGGTAGTTTTTATATTATTGAGATATTTCTTAAAAATGCCAGTCAACACAACAGAATGTTATTTGTTATTTTATGTCAGGGCTAGACAGGAACTAGAAACATGGCAAAGTCAAATCCATCTGCTCCTCAGGTACGAGCTGAGGTTCAGAGAGGTCACACTGCTGGTCCAAGCTGCACAGACCTGGCAGCCTGAGGTGCTGGCGAGGTACCACTGTGTCACCACCCCACACATCATGGCAGCCAGCCTCAGAGCGGGCCTGCAACAACTGAGTCCCACCCTCCTGGGGTTTGTGCCCCGTGGAATCCCTTCCGGCTCAGAACAGGATACCATGGGCAGGGTGGGCCGTGGACCCACACTGGGTGACGGAAAACACTGGCTTCCATCTTGCCTCTCTTCGGTTGCTCACTCTGGACAAGGTCAACGACCATGTCCTATGTACAATCAGTCCTGGAGAGAAGCCCCCTGGATTGATCTTGCAAAGAGCCAGCCTAGCTTGCAACTGTGAGCGACCCAGAAACAGATCTCGCAGCCCCTGCCAAGCCTTCAGAGGAGTGGCCCTAGATGGGGACACCACAAGACCCTAGTCCAGAACTCAGGGCTAAGCCATTCCCTGAGGCCCAGAGAAAACGTGAGTCGATGCTCATTTTTATTAGGTTAAGCTGCTACTTTTGGAGCAATTTGTTTTGTAGCACAGACACTAATACACCCCAGCTCTCCTCTCCCCAAATGCAGTCAGAGCAGTATCATCTCACATCCAAATTCTCCCACACTTCCAGAAGTCTGAAACCTCCAGTGGAGGCACAAGGGGAGAAATCTGCTTCCTCTCCCTTTCCAGCTTCTAGAGGTCTCCTGTACCTTCTGGTTCACGAAGTCTGTGATCACACCAGAATAGTCTCCCCATCGTTAAACTCTTAAACACAGCTACAGACATTCTGCTAAGGAAGATTACATACTCTCAGATTCTGGGGCTCAGGAGGGGACATCTTTGGAGAGGAAGGGCATTATTCCCTCTGACCACAAGGATTATTTCTAGTTTTCATGCTGTCATTGTCTTCCCTAAGGTCCTTCCCTGGTCACTGCACCTCCCTCCCTCGAAGCTGGTTCCTCCTGGATGTTTAGGACAACTTTCTTTTCACCCACAGAAGCCTGCATGGCCAGGAGGAAGGGAGAGGCTCCGTGTCACTTCCTGAGTGGGGCCCTGGCCTCCTGGGGTATGGACTGCCCTGACCCTGGGCTGTGCTTAGGGAGAAGGTCTCAGCAAGCAGGAAGGAGGAAGGCTCAGGCCGGAGTGGAGGAAGCCAAGTGCAGTGGAAGTGATCAGAGCAGGGTGAGTCAGGAAAGGGAAATACCTGGCAAACTAGGAGAAAGGGAAGAAGGGAGGGAGGGAAAGAAGGAGGGGCTGCCAGACTGGGAAGATGCAAGCAAAGCTTCTGAGCAGTACAGCTGGGCGGAGTCAGGAAGGCCGGACAGGGAAGGCCCAAGTTGGGAGAACACTGCCCAGAACAGGGGAGGAAGAGGGGACTCACTGACCTGGCCCATTTCAGTGGATTGCTTGTAGGTGGAGAGCTGGCGGAGGAGAGAACAGGAGTGGTGGAGGAGGGGAAGGGTGCTCCAGGCAGAAGGAACACAGGGAGCAAGGCCTGGAGGTGAGGAGGAGTTAAGGGGTTTGGACGCAGCCCCTCTGAGAACTGTAAGAAGCTTCAAAAAAAAAAAAATCACAGGAGGCCATTGTTCTGGACTAAGATCCTGCACTGGCCCCGGCAGACCAGAACAAACTAAAAACAGATTCCAAATCCACACGCTAAAACCCCCATGGGGTCACTGGCCCCAGAGCTCCAGGTCAGCAGGCTGCAACTGTGTCTGCTCTTCCCTGCAGTCAGGGAGAGGGAGAACAATCTCCCGAGCAGGGCAGTTTGACATGGCATCAAGAAGTCCCCTCTGCCTTCATTCTCACACAGGAAAAGACAACCTGAAGTAACCTGGCAGTAACTCACCAGTTATTTTTCTACTCTTCAGTCTCCCTGTCCCTGCTTCACAAGAGAAGATTTCAATCTTCGATTCGTTTTATTTTTGTTCTGCCTTCTGCAGCCCTTTTCTGTCTATAAAATCAACCTCTTCTGCTGGGATCTTTGGAAAAAACCAAACAAACGGTCTGCCCTTATCTGCAGGGGACATGTCCCAAAGGCCTAATGGATGGCTGAAACCCAAGACAGCACTGAACCCTGTCTATACTGTATTCTTTCCTCCAGGTACATCTACTGAGGTAGAGATGTACAGAGACGGGCAGAAAGCAGACAATGAAAATCCTAATTGTCAAACTATCCTTAAAGAGAGAAACAAAAACTCCAGCCTCGGGACATAAGAGTTACCCACGGTTCTGATGCCTCTTTCCCCTCCAGAAAGCTCAATCCGGGCCTCACAGATACAAGAAGCCCATAATCAGGGTTTGTGCTTTCTACCTGTGCACTGAAGGGCAGCGTCTCTCTGAACAGCACGTTCAGGCGCTTTACATTCTGACACAGTCAGCAGGAAAGCGCGTAGAAGACCACCCTGAGGATGCCCCAAGACCACACAAAGCCCCAGCCCATAATCGGCCTCCCTCCCACAGGCCTGCATGCTCTTCTCTCTGAGTGTGCTCTTCTTTATCCACCTAATTCTGTGCCTCTTGCTGAGTCATCCTACAATTCTTTTTTTTTTTTTGCTCCTGAGGATTGAACTTGGGTCCCTGCGCTTGCAAGGCAAGCGACGGAACCACTGAGCTAAATCCCCAGCCTGATCCTACTATTCTTTTCTGTGATAAACATCAGCAAACCTACAACCTCTCCTACGGATTGGGCAGTCGAGGTCCCCATCTCCTCTCTCGGGGGGCTTCTTCGGAGCCCATCCAGTGACACTACACTAAGTTTAATGTATAAATCAGGGAATTGAGAGATTAACAATGAGAGCTAATAACAACAACTGTGACAATATACAGTACTGTAGCAAAAGTTATGTAAATGTGGTCTCTCTTTCAAAGTATTTCCGTATTCTGAATTCAACAGACACACTCCCCACCTTTTTTGCCGTACTGGGGATTGAACCCAGGGTCTGCATGATAAGCTACATCCCCAACCCTTTTTAAATTTTTTATTATTTTTATTTTTGAGACAGGGTCTGGCTAAGTCACAAGTTGCCCAAGCTGGGCTCAAACTTGCAATCCTCCTGCCTCAGCCTCCCAGAGTGCTGAGATTATAGGCATGCACCACCTGGCTTAACTCTCACCCTTCATGATGGGAAATGATACAGTGTCTGCATGATTAGGTGGGACAGAGGCACTGTGAGGTAGCACTAGGCTACTACATAAAGATTACTTGAGCACAAGCACCATCAATCTGATAACCAAGAGGGCTATTGAGTGACTGAAAGGTGGGTAGTGTATACAGTGTGGATACACTGGACAAAAGGATGATCCACAGCCCAGGTGATGATGTAATGGGATGGTGCAAGAACAGTTCACACTTTAAAATTTATGAATTATTTCTTGAATTTAAGATTTAATACTTTCAAATTACAGTTACCACACATGGCCGAAACCACCCAAAGCAAAACTACAGATTAGAGGAGACTACTGAAGCTCAATTTTTTTTTAAGAATATAAGCTTTTGTGAACACACTATTTTGTTTCAGACTTTGCCAAGTGTTGGTCACTGTTCTGCAAAACCTCATCTCCAAGGGTGATAATGCTGCTGGTACTTTAATCTCCAGGAAAACACCGAGGGATTAGTTGGGATTTATACCTGGGGTAGCTTTTGTACACTAAAATACATGTTGCTTAATTACAGATTATTCACTTTTCAGTCTTTGTTTCCTATCTAGGGAGAGTATCGTATTGATTTTTTTTTTTTAAATCAGATACACTGGTAGGTTGGCTGTGCATCTGCAGATTTTGGTATGTAAGGGGTATTATGGAGCAGACCTAGAGGGAAATTGCTCCTTTCTGTCTGTTTTCCTTCACTCAGTGTAACGATTCCACATTCATCCTTCCTGTGGCATTGATAGTTCAATCTTGGAGACCTCTTTGAAGGAGTCCACGTGTGGATTCCATGGTTGGCACCATGACCTGTACCGCTACTCACTTATTAATGAGTGACTTGCTTGTCTCTGGTTTGGCTATCACACAAAGCAGCTACAAGTCTGTACAAGTCCTTTAGGAGAGTAAGTTTCCAGCCCTCTTTGGTATCTGCCTAGGAAAGGAGTGGCTAGTGGTATGGCAACTATGTCTAATTTAAAAAAAAAAAAAACAAAAAACTGCCAAACTCTTTTTCCACAGCCACTAAACCACTTTATACTCCTGCCAGCTGGAGCCATGATCCAAAATGCCCTTAAGCCTGGGTGGCTACGGGTTGAAGAGAACACAGTCACTTAACAAACCAATGAGGCACTGGCTTACTTATTTATTTATTTATGTGGTACCAGAGATCCAACAGAACCTTGTGCTTGCAAACACTAGGTTTTTTTGAGGCAGGGTCTTGCTATATTAGCTCCAGCTGGCCTTGAACTCCCGGCAATTCTCCTAACTTCGCCTTCCAAGTGCTGAAATTGCAGGTATGTACCACCACACCTGGCCAGGCACTGGATTTCAAAACCCACAGGTTGGAGCTGGGAGGCAAAGCAGTCCTGGCTACTGAGAGGGGCCAGATGGAGCCAAGATACCAAGGAAAAACTTTGCCCACAATCCCTCACCTTCCCCAGAACCCCCAGGACTCCCCACGGCCCACAGCCCACCGGAGGTGCACACTTCTCTGTTGACTGGAGAGACATGGGTGTGAGGGACCATGCTAAGTTGAGGCCTAGCAGGACGCGCATCCTCTGAGCCCTCCACATCCACACTGGGTTACACCCAGCTGATGCTCTTAAAGGCCACAGCACCAGCCAGGTCTGCCCTGAGGGAGGTGGCTTTCAAGCCCCATGGGCCAGCTCTTGCCATGTCCTCCCTGGTGACAGAAGCATACAGCCCAGGGCTGCACTCCGGTGAATAAAAGTTGATCCATCCACCTACACGCCAGGGTTTCCAGGACCAGGTCAGAGCTTCGAGGTGACAGAGAACTCTGACCTCTTGGGAAGCCCTCTGAGTAGAAAGGGAGGCTGGGAGTGTGGCGTGAAGGGACGTCCCAGGCAGCCCCTGAGCCGCTGTCCATTCTCTCCACCACCCAACCTCTCCAGGGCTCCCCGTGCCACTGCCCTGCATCAACCCTATCTCCTCACTGCGCCTGGAGTCAAACCCTGAGTCTTCAGCCCAGCCTCTGAGACCCCCGGAACATTCCTCTGCCTTCCTCCCTCCTGTTTTCGCCATCACCCACTCCACGCAGGCTGCACGGTCACTCTGCCACTGTGTGTGGCTCAGGCCCTTTCCACTGCTTATTCCCTGTGACTGGGAAGCCCTCCTCCGGGGTCACATTCCCTCTGCCAAATCTCTGCTCAAACGTCAACTCAGAGCAGCCGTCCCTGACCCTGTATCTCACAGCTGGGTCGCACTCATGTCCTTGTTCTCCTCTCGCCCTATGGGCTCCGCAGCAGCTCTTCAGTGCGTGCTCGGCTCCTGTCTCTCTTCTAGACTGGAAATGGCACCATACAAGGTGCCTGCCCCGAGCCTCGGAGCTGGGCATGGAAGGAGCAGCGAATCACATCTGCTCAGTGAATGCATGAAGGCCCAGGCCGGAGGCAGAGCTTCTTGATTCAAGTCCCATCCCATCTCCCACCGGTCAGCTGGACAAGCTCAACAGCAACACACCAAATGGCAGGAGCACTCACAGTGCCAGGCGCACAGAGGAAGGCACAAAAAGTGAACATAAGGGAGAGAGCGCCGCACACCCCAGGCACACACTCACAGGGGTCACAGCGGACGGAGTCTCCTTTGCTGCCCAGACTGCCTTTGCCACGGCCAGGTCCACCTGGCAGATGAGACGACGGCAGCTCAGGGAAGGGAAGCAACATTCCTGAGCCCACGAAGCTTGATGGTGGTGGCACTGCCAGCGTGCTGGCCTGGAGCAGACCGTGACCAGCTCATCCTAGGGTATGTGGCTTCTCCGGAGTGCAAGAAAACCCACACTTACTTCCTACACTTGGCACATTCCTTCTTCCAGTTCCTCACCAACACAGGCACGACCTGTTCCGATGTGTCCTCCTTATTCAGGGACCAGAGGTCACCACCCTCCAGGGGCTGCCGGTAGCCTTGAACCATCAACCTGTGGCCAAGACACAGGGGCAGGTGATGAGCACTGACGAGGGCAGGAAGAGGACAGTGTTGCAGTCCATGGGCCTACCGACACGACACGGCTACCCCAGCAGCTAGGTGACCGGGAAAATCCCAACAGGAGGGCCATTAGGGCACACAGCTAGTTCTGCCACCCAGGGAAAATGGCTCCATCTTAGAGAGATGCATGTAGGGTATTCAGGGGGGAAACATCAGAAAGCTTCCAATTTAGGGTTCCTTTTTTGTGTTGAGGGGTTTTGTGGTTCTTATGGTTTTCTGCAGTGATGGGAATGGAATCTAGGACCTCATTCAGATGAGGCAAGCGCTCCACTGCTGAGCCACATCCCTAACTCTAACTTACTTCTTAAATTTTAAATCAGAAAAGGCTAATATGATGAAACACTATCATTAAATCTGAGTGATGAGTTTACTGAATTTTATGATACAGGTTGAACATCCTTTACTGGAAACACAAGTATTCAGATTTCGTATTTGTTCCCAATTTTAGAATATCTTGCATGTACTGAAGGAGATAGCCTGGGGATGAACATGAAATTCATTTACATCTAATATATATTTTATCCACGTAGCCTAGAGGTAAATTCATACAATATTCTTAATTCGCCTGAGTTTTTTGTTGTTGTTTTTTTTGGTACCAGGGATGGAACTCAGGACCTTGCACTCGCCAGGCAGGGGCGGTGCCACTGAGCCACATCCCCGGGCCTGTGCCGGAGTTTGGACTGCAACTCGCCACATGAGGTCAGCTGTAGGAATTTCCACCTGGGAGGCGTCACCTCGGTGCTCGGAGTTTCAGTTTTCAGAGAATTTCAGACTTCAGGTGTGAGATGTTCAACCTGTACCAATCTATCCACATGCTTGAACACATTCAGAATAAAAAGTAAACCCCGTATCTTTACTTATTTTGAAATAAGTTCAAACTTATAGAAAAACTGCATAAATTACAAAAAGAATTCACTTAAGTTTAATGTATTTGTGGTATCCCTCTATTTCCATCTGTATGCATACAAATACACAAATACAAATTTTTTCTAGATCACTTAACAACAGGGTAGACTCTACACAGCTTTGTCCCTAAATATTAGTGTACAGCCCCTGAAAATCGGCCATACATGCTGATGTAACCAGGACACAATGTTCAAGAACAAGAATGCTATCAGTATGGAGGCTGTAAGCATCAGCCCAACTATTTCAGTGATGGTCGCTTTTTCTCTTCTTCATGTTTTTGAAATAGAGTCTCGCCTTGTAGTTCAGGCTGGTCGTGAACTCTCTATATAGTCCAGGCCAGCATCCTGCCTCAGCCTCCCAAGTGCTGAGATTATAGGTGTGTGACACCATGCCCAACCAGCTTCCAGTGATTAAAAAGTAATTTACTTGATAAAGTAATGTGAAAAATATTTATTACAACTATTTAAGAACTATATTTGCAAAAAGCTTCTGATGACAAGAACCATGCCTACTAGGGGAAAAATGCATTCAAACAACCCCCAGTAGGGTTCTGACACACAAGAAAAGATGTGGCCTTTGTAAGCAGGGAGGGGTGGAGAGGTTGCAGAGAGGGCAGGGTAGTGGGGAAAAATAAGAACCACGATACATCATGTAGAGGTACAAGATCCCAATGATGAATGTCATCATATTGTACAGCTAAAATGTACCAATAAACTTAACTAACAAAAAAGAGATGTGCCAAAACACAGGAGGACCACAAAGAAGCCTATCCAGATGCTGACGGGGGAGGGGGCGGTGCCTCTAAGTTTTCTTGCATTGTTTTTTCTATGCATACTTTTTTACCCACATTTCCTATGCTGTGTATGCATGGTTTTTATAATGGGGGGGAGAGAATGCCAATAATAACACAGTCAGCCTTCCGTATGTACAGCTCCCACACCCACAGATTCAACGAAGCATGAAAATATTAAAAATGTGTCTGTGCTGAATATGTGCAATTGTTTCTCTTACCAGCATTCCAAAGCAATATACTCTGCAAACTATTTCTGTAATATTTACATTGTATTGGGTAAGAAATCTAGATAGGATTTAAAGTACACGGGAAGATGTCCATCGGGCATAAGAGGACAACTGCCTGTTTTATGTAAGGTACTTGAGCTTGGAGGATGGTAGGAGCTGCAAGGGTTCTAGAACCAGTCTTCTTTGGACACCAAGGGATGACTAATCTTACTTCGTGTACCAAAATCACCCAAATCCGCAGGTGACCCTGGAGCTGGACAGTGCCCAGGCTGAGCCTTTCACAGCGGCGAGCCACTCGTGTCTGTGTGGACATCACACCAGGGTTCAAGAGCGCGGGGCGGCGTCAGTGTCTCTGAGCCCACACGGCCAGTGGAGGGGGACTTAGGACACAACTCCGAAGGGGAGTGGGGAAGGGAGCGGGAGCCGCGCTGCATGAACCATTCATTCATTCATCCCCACCACCTGCCCAGGGACTGGGGCCCGGCCTTACCCTGTGATCCACCAGAAGGTGATCCTGGAAAGGAAGGAGGCGCCGGATTCCGGGCAAGGATTCTAGCAGAGAAAAGCACAGGGTGGGGAGGAGATGGGATACACAGTTAAGCATTTCATCTATGCCAGAGCTAGGCCAAGGGCAGTCACTGCTCTCACAGGACCCTCACGCACTCCCACACTGATTCTTCCCCCGAGCCTCAGGAGAGTGCAGCCCGAGGCTGCTCCTCTGGTTTCACACACTCACACATACACACACACACACAAAATTCCCGAGTGTCCACTATGTACAAGTACGAAGACCGTGCCACAGACCCACCCCGTCGTACATTCCCACAGCAACCCTGCCGGTTATCATCACTGTTCCACGTCACTCATTCATTCAGCAAGTATTTGCCGAGGACCCTCTGTGTGTCTGGCACTCTACAAAGCACTACAGACCTGCCTTTCCCTCTAACCCTACAACAGTCCTAAGGGCCGGTGCCACTGCTGTCCATGCTGTACTCCCTTCATTCACTGAGCAAACATTTACGGAGCACCTACTATGTGCCAGGCAATATACAAAGAACTATGGTCTTGCACTACATCTCCAGAGAACTTGGTGAACATATTATCTCCATCTCATTCATTTATTCATCCAACAGAACATCTACAAGTACCACGCATTGTGTACACGAATCTGAACAGAGACACAGCTCCTGCCTTCACGAAGCAAGTGGCAAGTTACTGATAACCATCCTGCTAACCCGCTCTACTAGTTGGCCTGGTGCTACGAGCGTTACACAGGTTATCTCATTTAATCTTCTTTTGCAACCTTTGTGATCCAAACTATCTCAAAGTTAAAGACCAAAAGTAAAGCAAAATAATGCACAGGCTCCAGTAATACACACTGAAGTGTTTATGCAGGTGATACACGGTAAAGTCCATGGCAGCTCATTATATGTTTGTCATAAAAGCGAAATGCAAAGTCCCCTGCAGCAATCCAAACACACGGCCTGCACTATGATGGTGGGGCCACAAAGCCCCACTGCCCAAGAGAATCACTGGGGACTTTGCAAAACACAGGTGCCCTGTCCCAGACTGACTCAATCAGGACCTCTGCAGTTGGGCCCTGGCATGAACATATTTTTAGTAAATTAAATCAGTGCAGTGGGTCCATGGACCAATATTCCAGACCAACCAAAAGCAAACTAAATTCAGACCATGGAGCCAGTAAGTTCAAATCCTAGCTCTGGTATTTTTCAGCTGAATGACCTTGGGCCAAGTCCTTCCGCCTGCAAGCCCTGGTTTCCATACCCAGAAAGTGGGAGTGGGAGCCCGACAGCTTAGCATGCCTCACAGGACAGCCAGGAGCCCAGTTGGGTAGGACGCTGGGGCCTCGTGGTAAGCTTGATCCTTCCAGACAAAGGTGGCAACATTATCTGAGGAGGAGGTGGAGACAGTGGCATTGTAGGCCAGGCAGAAAATATTTCATTGCGGCCTGGTTATTCTTCCAAAAGAGTAGGCACCTTCCTGCCCAAGGCCCGCCCACGCCACCATCAGGGGTTACCAGGGAATCACAAATCCACTGAGACCACAGCCCAAGTCTCTGTGCCCCCTGGCAGGGAAGAGATGAGAGGGTGGGTAACAGCCGGCAACGATACATTTATTTCTCAGGCAAATAGTTAGGGAAGACCTGCTTATACAAGGATGAGGGCCGAGTGCTGAGCACAAGGCTGTGAACCAGACCGTGCGGTCTCTGTCCCCACCCAGTTTCCCGAGGGACACACGGACACAAGGCAAACCAAGGGGCTGCGTGTAAATACAGAACGATGTAAGAGGTGAGAAGAGCCAGAGGGGGTAAGGGGCAAGGGAGAAGGGGGCAGGCGCAGCTCAGGGTGAAGCAGCTGTCTCAGGAGCTGTGGGGCCTTGGGCAAGTTGCTTGGTGGCACATATTAAAGTACTTGGTGGCCAAGTACTTAGAATAGTACCTCGTTCACAGTACAAGCTCAAGAAATGGTACTAGTATAATAGTAAAAACAGTAACAATGGCTTCCATGTATAGCAAAACAGCAAGCTGCATATCTTAAATATTTAAATATGTGTAATTTTTATCTGTCAACTTATCAATTGTAGGGAACAGGGAAAGGGGACGTTACTAGAGCCTCTGCAGTGAGTGCCAGTCTCCAGCGAGCCACGGCAGCACAAGGTGAATTAACTTATTATACAGGAAAGGTAGAAAAAAAAGGGACTTTGGGAAGAAGCTGAGCTTTGGGCCTGATCAGTGCTGCTCTGGGCGGCAAAGACCAAAGCCCCCAGCTGACCACACAAACAAATGTAACAAATGACTGGCAGAGAGTTCAGTACGGTGGGAGAAACAGATGTAACAAATGACTGGGGGGTGATGGAAATCCAAGAACAATGAGGATCTGAGTAGATGTGAAGATTTTGTTCCTCCCAGGATGTCTTCAGCTGGTGTAATCTTGTCCTGGAGCATCACAGCATCACTGGATTGTTGAGGTCTTAGCTGTGACCGGAGGCCAAAATGGAATTATGTCTCGAAATGCCATAGCTGGCCTGTGGGCAGGAGAACTAGGCCTAATCAAATGATTTTTCCCTAAAGCTATGTAGCACTGCTCCCAACAATCAATAAAGCAGAGAGAAAAGAAAGTCAAAGGTTTCCATTTCTTGCAGACCCATGAGAAGCTAACTCTTGCACCAGATGCTTTCTGTATGGGGGTGAGGGAGGCAAACAGTGGCCCACCAGCTGGCTGTTTCATTTACACACTGCGGCTGCTCTTGAACTACAAGGGAAGAACTGAGTATTGCAACAGAGACTACATGGGCTACAAAGCCTGAAATATTTACTAGGTAGCCCTTTACAGAAAAAGCTGACTGACTCCTGCCTGTATCAAACTTCACACACTCTGCGATATGGTGATTATTAAGGAGTGAAGCCAGGCCTCAAACGACAGTCTTTGCCTCCAAATCCAGGCTTCCTTCGGCCTTGGGATCAACGAGGAAGACAGGCTGCTAATGGGGGCCGAAGTGCAGCCTGCTCCTACACTGCCAAGGCCTATGGGCACCAACCCCACCCAGGCTAGTCGAACTGAGGTCCCAGCCACCAGCAGAACACCCACTCTGCAGACAGAGTAAGGTCACAGCATCAAAGGAACATCTCGCAGTCTCTAATTCTCACCCACAAAGAGCTACACCTCATCTTCTCCCGGCGTCTCCTCTCCTCCGGATCCAAACACAGATTTTCAGATCAGCCGAAGTGACAGAAACAGGGACCAGCCCAGGACTGCCTTCACCAGCGCTGAAGGAAATCTGAGCGTGAAAGCTGGTCTCCAGAGTTTCTAGGGGATGCAGAAAGCCTCATTTGATAGCAAAGACCTGTCATGAAGTAGCTGAAGATCAACAGTTAAATAGGAGGGTCAAAGCCAGGCTGGTGAATAAGGGTCCTGGCAACATCGCACTCCTTGGAATCTATGGTCCAGCTTCTGGAGGAATTCATTAAGTGCAAAAGAGTGGCCAGCTGAGAGACTGAAATCAGCACTCCTGCCCCGATGGAACGAGGGAGGCTTATTAACTGGTACCTCGTTCACGAACTCCAAGTGCCGTGGCACACACCTGTCATCCCAGCACCATGGGAGGCTGAGGTAGGAGGATCACAAATTCCAGCCCAGCCCAGGCAACTTAGCAAGACCCAATATCAAAATAAAAAATTAAAAAGGGCTGGAGAGAGCCAGGTGTGGTGGTACACACCTGTAATCCCAGCACTCGAGAGGCTGAGGCAGGAGGATCCCTGTGAGTTCAAGGATAGCCTGAACTACATGGGAAGGCCCTGGCTCAAAACATTAAAAAAAAAAAAAAGCAGGTCGGGGGGGGGGGGCGGATTTAGCTCAGTGATGCTGCACTGGCCTGGCAAGCACGAGGTCCTGAGTTCAATTCCCAGACCCAAGGGGGGGGGGGCTGGAGATGTAGATGTAGCTCAGTGTCGAGGTCCTAGGTTCAATCCCAACAAGAAGAAGGGGAGGAGGGTGGTGGGGTGGGGAGGAGGAGGAAGAAGAAAAGAAATAAAAACTCCAACAAGTCCCGGCTGAAGGCAGAGGGAGGGCACATCTGATTTACGTAGCTCAGAAACTCACTCTTTAGCATCCATCCACATATGCATCTGTGTTCTGCACCAGGTGACCTGGCCAGAAACCATGGAGGAAATGAATTTGGTCAAAGAGCCCCAGATACCACTTCTTTTAGAACGGATCACGAATGACCACGCACGGGGGATCTGATCTGGGTCTTTCAGCCTTTGGTTTGTCAGAAATTCTCTGGGTCACCACATACATTTCTGGTTTTGCTTCTGCTTTCAGTTCTCACTGGTTTTCTGCAGGACACTCCCACAATGCACTGCACACAGCCAGAGAGCTCAGAGCAGTGGTTCTCACCTGTGGCTCCACCCTCATCAGCACCTGGGAACTGGTTAGAAACACAAACGTTCTCGCCCCACTCAAACCTATGATACTGTGCACCACGAGACCCAGCAAAGTGCATTTAACACAGGATGTGATATGGGCCAAGAGGGAGAACCCAGTGGGACGCCGGCAGCCGCTTCACCATTCTGACCCTCTTTGTCCTCATCTGCTCATCCCGCCTTGCTGGGTTACTACGAGGACTAAATAAATTAACAAATAAATTAGTGCATGGAGCCACTGGCTGCAACAATCTAAATGTTCCAGGAGACTTCCCAGTACAATGTAAACACTGGCGCTTTGTTTGCCCTGCTGCTCACCAGCTGTGCAAATCGCCTCCCTGCTCCGGCCTCTATTTCCCTCCAGGGTAGCACACACCCGAATCCTTCTCCAGGCCTTTTCCCATGAATTTACCCATTTTCTTCTCTTGGTTTTTGGCCCTGTTGTGTGCACGGACACACAACACAATGTCCTGGCTGTCTCTGGGGTCATGGTCTGTTCATCTCTACCTCAGCTCAGGCCTGGCTTTGTAAGTGCCACCAACATCCCCATGTTCAATGCAACCTCCTCCTTTCATTTCAGCTGGAGGGATCCTCCAAAACCATGTCCTAA